GTACAAAATCACACACCAATCACATTGGACTGCTCATTGATGCGCTACCCTTTGAAGAACTGTAGGACTTACAGCAGTACGCCTACAACCCTTCTCAGGTTGACGCTCTAGGTTGGAAAATCGTCGCAGATTTCATTTGCTAACTTCCTTCTATCAGCTATATCCTCAAATCTGAACGGTAACACGCCCATGTCATTGTATCGTAGAATATAGATGACGAACAAACACAGGACGTATCTGGTCAACCAGGCGTAGGCACAGAGTAATTTACACCAAAGATAATAGCATTCAAATAGTAACTTGAAACTAGAAATGCCTTTATTCATGCAAGTCAATTTAACAATTACTCTCCCGTTTACACTTGGCTTATTCTCACTAAACTGACCATTGATATTCGTCCTTTCAAACGAACTGATACTATCATAATCATTGCACAAGATACTTGAGTTGATGGGCGTCTGTATCATTAAGGATGACAGCACCAACGAAAACTGATTGATACCAGTTGATGAAGTTAGCGGTGCATCAGAAACTGTTGTTGTTCGGCTTTCAGATAGTTGTCCAACTGCAAGACTAACACCACTGCTGTCTTTCACTACTAGTTCGGGTTTAGCACTATCATCTGATGATAGGTGGGCTACACGCTGATCACTCACACTGACGGTCTCACAAGTATGTATGCCTTCTGCAACAGCATCTGCATTCAATTCTACTTCACGTTGTAGTTGTACAGAACCTTTATTTAACCTAGCAGTAGTAGGCATATCCCGCATCTCATAATGATCAACCAAAGAGAAATCTGCACTATCATGATCACTACCACAAATATTCAATTTACCGTCAAGTTCATCATTTTCAAACTCTTTAATAACAGCAGTAGATGATTTGGGTTCTTCCTCACAAATCCCTAAAGATTTCATACCTTCATTCTGACTAGTAATACCTTGTAAACTTGTGGAGTCAGAACTGCACTCTGAAGCAGTAACTCTATTCTGTGACACTCTATTCAACAATGGCTTACCAGTTGCAACTACAGACTTCTTGACCACACCGTTATCGTCACACAATTCGGAGTAAGGCCCGGAGTTTACATTTAGCTTATCACTGAACTTGCTCACTGGTTCACAGCTCACCTTTGTATGCACCTCTTGCAAACGAGTACAACACAACGGTGTTTGTCTTGCATCTTGCAACTTATCTGTTGAGGATGTACTACGAAAGCTGTTACACTCACTAGATCTATATGCATTACTAGACATCATCGAGCCTTCTCGATATCCACCTCTCTGAGGCTCTTTCGTCATCAATGAGTGCGTTTTACCCTCAGACTGCTCTATTCTATGGGTGAGATCTAACAGACTGGAAAACTTGCTCATAGATTGATTGACGCTATCTTTTACCAGTTTCAGGATATCATCAAACGTTGGCTCGATACCTTCATCCTCCATACGGGAGCTTATCTTCACCCACTTCCCTTGCAGTCGAGTAGGTAGGCGTCTTGCTATTACTTCTAGTATAAAACTCGAGTTGAGGTCACTCATGCAATTCATAGAAATCAATGCATTCTTGTGAATCGGCAAATTATCCTACAACTCAGTGAGTGCCTGGGAGTCATCCTGTAATTGATCGCCATTACCCTTAACAGCCTCGAATAATTTCCCTACAATCATCGAAGGTCTTCCAAACCTTTGACGTAGTATGATCATAGCTTCGTAGTAGCCCTCTTTTGGCTTCATAAACTTACAGCACTGTATAGCTCTTGCAGCATCTCCAGTGCAATATCTCATCAAATACATTAACTTCAATTCATCATTTAATAAAAAGCCACTCAACATGATTTCAAATTCCCGCACAAACTGCAAATAATCGGCCGGGTTTCCATCAAAACATCGTGGTTCAAATTTAGGGAGTTTCATGTTCCTATTATCCCTGAACGGCGAAACAGTAACATCAACCATGTCATGTTTAACATCAGACACATCGTTACAATTAACAGACAAGTCACCATGACTTACTTTCCTGTTTGCATCCAAGACGCTCTGTCCCTTCTTTGACCCAGGCATTGTTGAACTTGACCCGATTCCAAAAACGTTCCAGATATTGCTTGTTCAAAGAGGACTTGACCGGCACCAGGAAAGATGTATGGTGACTATCCAAACTGTCACCAGCTATCTGAATCTGTCAGAAAATGTTTCCGCCGTCAGAAACTGACTTCACTGTCAGAAACTGCCAGCCACGTCTCGTGAACCGTCAATGCTCAGCTCATGCTACGCTGGGGCTCACGCTCTTCCTTGAAGTTTCTCAGAAACGCTTAGTAATAACAGATGCAAAACCAAAACACCGGTTGGCTACTCGAGAATTCTTCATTGTAACACCAACATATAGGCAGCTTTAAAATTAAGTTCTAACTAAGGTCTATGAACAAGGATTACAATAATAAATCACAATATTACTTCTGACAGTTTTGGCCTGACTTCTTTCTGAACAGCGACCAATGAGACGATGACTGGTGTATCGATGTCTTCGCGAAAATACAGGGAAGTTAGGTGTGAGCAAACAACCATGAATTGATCGTTCAATCTTCAACTACATTGGCAAACGTGTTCCTGTAAGTCCTTAGATTATCCGGAAACTCAGATAGCCTTGGAGTCATCTCGGAATTGACTAACATTACTTGTAACAAATTCACAATCATCGGAGCTCAGCCAGACCTTTGACGCAGGATTACATCGCCTCAGGATATCCTTCGTTTGGGGGCATCAACTGGCAGCACTCTATGGCTCCTGCAGCAACACCAGTGCAGTACCTCATCAAATACATTAACTTCACTTCCTTATTTAAAATAAAACCACTCAACATTACTTCAAACTCCTTCACAAACTGTGGAGATTCTGCTGGGTTTCTGTCAAAACACCGAGACTCAAATTTGGTAATTTTAAAATTTCTATTATCCCTAGTCGGCAAAACATGGACATCAATATTATCGTGCGTAGCATCACACACATCATTACATATTACAGGCAACTCATCATTACTTACTTTCCTGTCTGCTTCCAAAACGCTTTGTCCCTTCTTTGGCCCAGGCACTATTGAACTTGACCAAACAATCCAGAAAAGTTCCGAATAACACTTGTTCAAAGAAGACTTGCAGACGCGAGGAAAGACGAATTGTCAACAAATAAGATGAATATTCCAGGAGAATTATCAGAAACTGTCAATGTCCAGGTCTAACTATAGTGGACTTCACACTGTCCTTGGAAGGCTTTCAGGAACTATGCGTAATAACCAACACGAAAACCAGAACACAAATTGGTGACTCAAGGACAGTTTATTCTTGCATCAATACAGAGCCAACCATTAGGTTATTGTACACAAAGTTTCTGATAGTTTCTCTCTCTTCCAACGAACAGCGAACAATGGATTTGAGCGAACAACCATGAACTGATCGTTCAATCTTCAAGTACATTGACACGATTCGAGTGACAAAGTTGACAATATTTACGTGATCCAGTGAATCAAGGAAAGAACAATCGTAGGAATTGAATTAACAAGTGACTATTGATAGAGGGTTCTCAGGGTGAGTGAAATACTGCAATATCTGTTTATTTAGGCGAATTTTATCTGATATTGAGGACGAGGATGGAGGAATCACTGAAAGCCGCCTGGTCATTATCCACTGCCTACTGTAATACTGATAATAATAATAATGAATTTATAGATCTACACTCATTTGCGAGATATACGTGAACATTCTATACACCTAGTCCTAAAAGAGCATGTTAACACTTGAATGCAATAGAATTGGACAATCGAAGTAACATTTGCGTAACATTAGAATGCATCTTATGTTGGAAGGCTTCGCTAAGTTGTTCACAGAACGGCAACGAGAAATGCCTTCCTTAGCGGCCGTGTCAACCGGCTTTCAGCGAATTCAAACCCAGGGTCAAACCCTTTCTTTCATTATTTTTTATGGTTGTGGTGTAGATTTGATTCCGGAATGAAGGTTCCCAGTTCCAGCAGGCAAACGACAAAATATTTCGGTGCGATAGCTTGCATGCTGGCCAAATGGCACTTAATCACGTACCTGTCAGTGTCTGTAAGTGTGATATTTACTTTGCGGTGTCTAAGTTCAAAGCAGTGTTACAAGACTGGCAGGAGCATGTATCTCTACTCAACCTTTCAAGTGAACCGCTTGTAGTCACGGAAAAGTTAGTGCATCTAAGCAGCTGTCGCGGTGGTAGGATGGACAAAGTCTCTGATCACATTGCGAAAGCTAGAGTACCATGCGTCATTTTAGTTGCCCCTAGGCACCGTCACGACGTTAGTCTGACTGTCAGTGGTTCGGTTAACAGCGCTTAGACGCGCGCGTTCTTGTTCTACGCATGTGAAACTTAGACTCTCCGAGTTAGTGACGTAGGACGACACTTCGCACTCAATTATCGCTACTTCCACGGAACTGCTTACGTCGCTGTTGCTCAACTATGCATATCGGTTTTGTCACGCTTCGCTTTCCTCCACCCAATCAAAACACTGTTTGTTGATTTTGCTCCAGTCATCTCAGTTACCCAACTCGCTACGTCTCACCTGACAGATCCTCAGTACACTCAGCCTTCGTATCACCCACCCGCTTTATTTCGAAATCTGCTTATTCCTTCATTTTCCAAATTCTATTTGTGGTTCACTATTATCCACAAGAATGTGATGGCACTTCAGTACCTCAACTCGCTATCAAATTTCAGAATGCAACAAAACTGCTTATTATTAGTCATCACAATATATACTTTTAACTCGATTGTACGGCTGTTAATATCAAATCACTACAAAAGTATTTGTCTCGATGAAATCTTTGTTTTATGTCCCATTGGGGATTATTAGTCCGTTATTCTTTTTCAGGATGTTTACGGGCCTAAATTAAGCACGAATCACATTGAAGTGAGCTGAGATGTATTTTTAATTTCTTCCCACAATATAAAAAACCTTAATAGTACATTGCCCACGTATATTGCGTGAGTCCTGGCGCGGGTTAATTAGACAGTGCGTTTCAATGTAGTGTGTCGGCTGGCGTTCCTTAAGGTAAGTCCTTTTGACTGGAACTCTCCAGTGATCAGTGCCTTTTCAATTCAAAGTTTGTTGTATGTACTTGTTGTTTCCCACCTCAAGGATTCCGTAGGTGTTGAAATGACTGCAGTTTGCTTAAGGTACCAAAATCGATTGGTATTTCAAGTTAATATAAGAGATGTGAGATATTGTTCACATTTTACAGTAGTCTTAGCACCGCTTCCGTGCATTTATACATGAATAGTGAAATTAATAGATGAATTTCATTGTAACTTGAAAATCCCCATTCAGTCATAGAAAAGGCGTTCAGCGAAGAGACTCTTATATACGGCGAATTCATTCACTGAGCTGTACAATCGCATATATATACAATTTTGTTTGTGTGTGTACATTAGATTTATAAAGTTTAGGTAATTATGTAATGTAAGTATTATTTGGCTTGTAGACAAACGTTAGGATAGAAAATAAAATAGAATTGATTAAATGAATTGGATGACGCAATATAGTTGAGTAGAATTCAGAGTAGGTCAGGTTGGCAACAGTGTTAATGAGTAGTGGTTGAAATTAAATAAGGGTGGCGTTAAAGAATAATACAGTTGAAAATAAGTAAGTTAATTTCATTGTATAGTTCGAATTACAATTTATAAGGTTGCATGTGACTAATGATTATTGCCAGTGATGTATTTTGTATATACATATATATTTTATTTTATGGGATGAGTGATTTTATCTCTTTTGGCAAGTCCTAAGAGTTAATAATAATAATTATTATCCCGAGTGGGACATAAGACTTGAAAAGCACATTTTCATTAATTGACTTCATGACTGCCTATTAACTCATCTCTCCACACGATCTTCATGTCACACTCGGATGCCAAACTCGGATTCCATTCCATAACATGGCAAGTCACTCAGTGTGAGACACAGACCACTGTAAACCAGGAATTCCTGGTTCAGTACTTAAGTACTGAACGATGTGGGCTAGTTTGGAAAAACTATCCAAATTCTCTGATTTCCATTGGTTCTCTAATTAATTTTAGTTCAGGATTTAACTCTAAAAAATGATCGCTGCACACCTAATTTAAAAAAATAGGATTTAGAGATACACAAATTGTTATTCAAAAATAATCCGTCAAGAGTAGAAACAGTTATTTATGGCTCATGCCTCCTGTGTCACCATGCAAGTAATCCTGAAGTCTGGAAACGTCAATTCAGACAAGATAGAGATCGTCTTCCTCTGAACCACTGGGCCATGGGTTCGAAGTAAGTCCCACCTATCAAATTTCAGACAGTCATGTGGTATTGCTAACTAACACCCAATAGGTGTGACCCAGTTGCAACTACATAGAGTTGCGTATGGTCTCTGAGTAACTTTCTCATTTTCTATATTTCCACAAGGCACGACCTTTAACAGTAAAAGAGGGCATTTTCATGCCTTCTATTGTTCCCATCGATTGGAGACTAATGTTATTTAACACAGATAAGTAAGAGGAGGTTAATCGGTGGGGTGTTGGATCTACATTGGCTAAGGTAGCTGGGAAATATGTTATACACCACATTTCTCTGTCAGAAATGTTGGCTGATGTAGAATAAGGTTGACAAGGTACTTGGATTTCAGTCTACACTTAACAGAAGCAATTACAATTCTCAGTTGAAACAACCAATATTCATGAGTGGTGATGGTGATTCGACAATCTGTGTTCCCCTCTAACTAATGTTCATTCGCTGAAGTAGTGAAACAGTTTTAAATATCACTTTATCTCAATGTGAAGTTTGTATTCATTAGTTTTCTAGCGAAAAGTATAAGCGATGAGAATCGAAATGATAAGAGTTAGTAAGTATCACTTAGTAACTTGACTATGAAGTTTCTACGAGTGGTGTGTTCTGTTAGCCTGATTACTGTGGAGGCTATTTACCGGATCTTCTCGGAAGCACTCTAACTGGTTTCGTGATAGTCAGTAATATTATTGTGTCATAGACAATACTGATTCAGTATTAGGTTAAAGTGACTTGATGGCAACAAATGTTCATCTTATTGTAGGCAAGTAAGAGACTGCAGTTGATATGTTAGTGCCGCACTTACTTACTTACTTTACTTTACTTCGGCTATCTCCTACGGGAGGATGAGCCGGCTTCATGAACGTCTCGAATCATCGCTGCCCAGGCGCGGCGATCTGAAGCAAGGTTTTGCGATAGGGATATCCAATTCTTGTTCCACATACGGAGTCCGTAGACGGTTTGTAGCCCCAGGCACTCCATATCTGCCTTGACTGTACCAAGCCATGTCTTCAGCTGTCCGCCCCTGCGACATCGCCAAGATGGTAATGGCGAGGGATTTAGAACTGATTTGACCAGATCGTCATCTGGTCGGCGCAGAACATGGCCAAACCACCGAAGGCGGCGTTGTTGGACCAGTACTGGAATTTGGTTGATGTTGTAGCAACGACGACGCACTTCTTCGTTGGAGAGTTTGTCCTGCCAACGAACATGCAGAATGTACCTGAGACACCAATGGTCTAATACCTCGAGTCTGCGTAAATCTTCCGCGCGAAGAGGCCAGGTTTCACAGCCATACAGGAGAACGGGTCGTATGGAAGCTTGGTAGACCCGAATTTTAGTCCTGAGACTGATTTCTCTCTTGCTCCATAGAACGCTCCTCAGCTGTAGAAACGCATTCCGGGCGTTGGAGATTCGCGCATTCACTTCGTTTTTCGCTTGGCCGTTGGGGAGCATTATGGATCCCAGATATCTGAAGGATGGCACAATTTCAATAGGTGCTCCATTTAGGGATAAGATTTCATCATTGCTGGTGGATGTGTTCGAAAACATTTTGGTTTTGGAAGTGTTAATTTTCAAACCGATAGTAGGCGCGAGGTGGTTTATCTGGTCGAGCGCCTGTTGCATATCGGGGAAGTTTTCAGCTAACAGCACGACGTCGTCGGCGAATTCGAGGTCGGTTATGTGAATATCGGGCGAAAGTTGGACGCCGTGGTGCTCGGTTAGGGCGTGCCGCAAAATCCAATCAATTGTGAAATTGAACAGGATGGGGGATGCTGGACAACCTTGCCGGACACCGCTGGTTACCTCAAAAGTGCGGGACTCTTCACCGTTCACTCGGACTCGAGCTTTGGTGTTGGAGTAGTATGACCTGAGCAGGTTGATTAGCTTGGTCGGAACTCCGTCGAGCTCCATTAGATACCAGAGTGCTCCTCGATCAACTGAGTCGAATGCCGCTTGGAAGTCGATGAAGCAAGCAACCGTCGGCTGTTGGAATTTGTCCCTGTGTTCCAAAATTCTTCGCAGTGTGAATAATTGATCAACACAGCCTCTTCCAGGTCGAAATCCGGCTTGATTTGGCCTTGTTCGCACGTGGCGTTCGGCCGCGAAGCGGTTCAGGAGAATGGAAACAAAAACCTTAGCAGCGATATCAATCAGACTTATGCCTCGGTAGTTCTCGCATATTGACCTGTCTCCCTTTTTGTGGAACGGTAGCAGAACTGAGGTGCTCCAATCGGAAGGAATGGTTTCGGACTCCCAAATTGAGCAGAACAGCGAGTGCAGTGCATCGATTAGCGCTGGAGTGCAGGCCTTGTATATTTCTGGGGGTAGACCATCTTCGCCCGGAGCTTTTTTGTTTCTGAGTCTGTTAATTGTTTTAGCTATTTCGGTTGGAGTGGGTGGATCGCAGTCAACTACGTAGGGTGTTGGTAAGTGTCGTATCGGTCGATGAGACGGTTGACCAGCGTCGCGATTGAGTAGCTGCTGCACTGGACTGGACTAGACTGGAGTGGAACTCCCTTCACTCTCTTGAGACAGTCATAGCATACAACCTCTTAGATGTCAGCAAATTTCATTCGTACTATCTGCAAGTAGGTTGTAAGTCGAGTGATTTCGTCACCTAAAGCCTGAAACCTAATCACACGATACCACTTGATTAAGAAGCTAGAGATATATGTGATTGGAATTTTCATGTAGTCTTTAACTGCTGTTGTGAGGCATTCGAAATGTAGAAGTCATTAGTATATCTATAGATGTATCCAAGCTTAAAAAAATTCATCAGATGTCGAATCTTCTGGATTCTAAACATGTTCACCAATCTTCAGATTAGTCTGTTACTCATATTTTATGTTGTAGTATCGTACTATTTTTCCTCTTTTGTGTCGTGTTCTGTATCAGTTCAATTCATTTTCTTCACAAGTAAACCGTTTCTGCACCACTACTTGTATTTTCGTCTTTTTGTATCACTATGATCTCGATGTCTTCCTTAACTGATAAACTTACGCTGTATTCAGCTGCTTTCAGCTTAACTATCTTTAAGTGCGATTTGAATTCACTGTATATTTTACTGGGTTTTTGAGAATTGTTCCTCAGAACCCGATACCGCATTTGACATGTCCTTAATTATCCAACATGAATTATTCAAACGACTGTGTTCATATACGGGCTGCCTTAATCGTATTTATTCGAATGGTCATCAGTGTCTCTGTGTATGGTATACATCTTGTTTCGTCCAAATGAAAAGTATTGTTTCTAGATTGGCAGTTGATGATACATGCATCCACCCTTGAGATGAACCGTTAGAAGCCGTCGTTGAGTTTGTATACTTGTGTGGAGATGATGCGGATAATATCTGTAACCTTATAGTGAAAGCCAGGACGATATAGACTGACCTAGATCACTTATGGTACCGTCTCCTGACCGTCAAATGTTGGGTTTACGATTTTTCATGGGGCTCAGTCTTTCTGTACTCCTGTAAAAATTGGCATCTCCCAGCTGAAAATGTTCGATAAGTCTGCGTGTTCTGTCATCACTATCTCCGTCGAATTGCTTACATTCAGTAGCCTCATCATACAATTCTGAGATCCGGTGGTGTGTTTCGGGATGTGACCGAGGTCGCCATCTTGGGACACAGACTTTCTCGGCTTGAACATACACTGTTGTCATTTTAGTGGTTTTCATAATGTTCATTTTTTGCTAGTCTTTGGAATGGACGGAAAAAAGCAGAGATGCAACTAGCCCGTGACATAGATCTATAGGATGGAATATAGTTGTGGTTAGTTGACGCCTTTTGGGTTTCACGACTCCCAGGGTCAGGCGTGGGAGATAATCTGAATCGGCAGATCAAGAAGCCATCGGATATATCTGAGAGTCGTAATCAGTTGCGAATATGTTGCAATTTCCTCCTTTCCTCTCTTTGTTAAAAGTAAGATGAAGTAATGAACGTCTCTTAGTTGCTCTTGATAAATGTGTTTGTTTTCATGATTTTATTCTTCACTGTTTTTTTCCATGCATCATTCTATTGGTTTTGTGACACATTTTTTGCTGTCCATATTGTGTACCAAGTTCGTGTTAAAATAATAATATACTGAGACTGAGTTTTCAACATAGAACTTTACACGAAACTGCAACAGCCCAAGTTACCACACACTATTTAGCACATTAAGGTAGATAAAAAATTCAAAGAAACTACAATGGGTGGAAACGTACAACATAAAGTACAATTACACCAAGAAGCATGAGAACTTAAAGGGTGTGAGCGATTACTAAGAGTGAATGCATCCGAGTCACTAGTTTCAACATAGAACTGCACAAAGTACGGAAGTTCGAATTGCCGTACTCCTTGTAGCACACAAAGGAAAACAAAAGAGATGAAAAGATTCAAAATAAGAGTAATCAGCGGAAATGTGAGGGAGAAAGAATGGTAACATGGACAACCTAAGGGTTTGATGGATATGGCAGGTCACAAAGATCAAATGCATATGCGCCATGGAGAACGATTTTGAGCCATATCACCAATTGTCTCCAGTCATTGGTCCTTAGAATCCCAGGGACCCCAACCAGTCAGTTTACACTTCCCCACGTGGCTCAAACTGTCTATCTGTCTGTTTTCGACATAGAACTTTGCACAAATGTGCGGAAGTTCAAGTCGCCACACTCCGTGTAGCACGCGAAGCAAGGGAAGAAAGTACAAGAAAAGCATAATAGAAACAGTGAGCAGAGGTGTGAGACAAAGGAAGAGTAATAACGAAGAACAAAACAGTTTCATTGGAAATCATAGGTTACAAGGAGTGGATGCATCTGCGCCACTGAGAACGATTTTGAGCCATGTCACCAATTGTTTCCAACCATTGGTTTTTACGGTCCTGAGGACCCCAGCCTGGAAGTCTACACCTTCCTACGTGGCTTAAACTAACTGTTGTAGATTTCATTGACCGGTGCCTTGTTTTGGTTTGATCGCCGCTAGCTCTTTTCCAGCCTAACCCTATATCCGCTAACACTGCTCGTCGAGGAAGGTGATGACTTGGCATACGTAACACATGTCCTAACCATCTCAGTCTTTGTAACTTCACGACTTCATCGATTGATTTCCCCTCCTTGCCTAGCACTCGACGCCTAACCTCAATATTGCTCACCTTATTATGCCACTTTACACGGGAAATAGAGCGCAGGCACCTATGATCAAAGACAGCTAGTCTTTTCATGTCTTCCACTCTCAGTGGCCAGGTTTCACTAGCAGCCATAAAGGAGGATGGAGCGGACTGATGAGCAGTACACCCGCCCTTTGGTCGAAAGTCGAATATCTCGTCTACACCAGAGACGGCGTAAACTGAAAAATGCGAAACGAACCCTCTGTATCCGTGCTGAGATTTCATCAGATATCAACCCGCACGTGTTCCAAATGGAGCGGCAGTCTTCTCCTGACCCTCGCCAACGATACCCCATGGCTATGTGGTCTATCTGAGTCCAGCGTTGATTTGGTGATGGAGGTCGCCAGGTCACACACTGTCTGTCTTTGTGCCTAAAGTTAATGCTGACTAAGAACAGATGATTATCTGAGCAGAGCTGTAGAAGATGATCACCGTTGTCGGTTCGTTGGCAGGGAACTCCATACGTACCACCTATCAGTCTGTCACAACTTTCCCACTTGGGCATTGAAGTTGCCTGCTAAAACAACTATATCTAAACGTTTTGCTTTTTGCAGCAAATTAGACAGTTTCAGGTAGAAGTCATCCTTTAGTTCATCCGAACTGCAGTCTATTGGGGCGTAAGCGGAGACTACGAAAAGGCAACGACGGGTAGCGCCGTCTTTCCTTCTTTTAACGGACCCATTCAGACGGACCGCACGTATACGACCATCTACCGGGATCCAGTCAAGAAGTGACTTTTCCGCCCTAACACTCAGTGCTATCCCTACACCTGCGAGTCCTCGCGAGCTAGCTGAGGGGTCTCCTGACACCCTTTTGCAGATTCACCTTGTTAATCGGGTGAGGTTAAATGAATGACCACACTCAGATCTTGTATGCGTGTCTTCATGGTTCGAGATGCCAGAGTTCTTGCTAGTGATGCCTGTTGTCCAATTTGGCAGAGGTTCCTGACGTCAAATGCTCCTGTATGAAGTTGGCTTTAAAAGGCTATCTGGGGTGTTTCTATGACTCTCACCGTTGTTTGTGGTCACAGAGTGAAGTGAAGATGACTCACTAGCCTTCAGAATAGTACTAATTGTAGTAGAGAAGCAAGATGGGGAAGGTGATGTGAGTAAAGGAGAATGATGCTCAGGAAGGCTTCGTGTGCTTTTGGGAGTGTGTTGGCGGTTGTTACTTCGCGGCTGCCCACACCGTGGAAGTTGGTTGATTCTTCGGGTACCTGAAACAGAAAGAGTGTTGCGTGACCGCAAGGCCCAGGGGACAACTGCTTGAGGCCGGTCACACACGGCCTGTATCAACTGGTTTCTGGGACTGATTCCGTATTAGTAAACTTACCTCCGGTTACGGACCACCGTAGGGTAAGTCGGAATGTACAATTCTTGGGGTCGACCCTTTCTAACCTCTTCTCCGGAGTGGAGAGACATCATAGCTGGCTGGCATGCTGGTCATCTGAGGGAAACACCTCACTGCTGTTACACCCCTGTTCCCCAGCATCACGACTTCGCCCTCAGACCCCCAGCATAGTGTAAGAAAAATTCTTACACTAAGCCGGTAACTGCTTTTAGTCTAGTCGCTATCCTAACAACCTTCCTGGCATGGTAGGACCTGCAGGAACATCGGTTCCAGCCAGTGTAGCTTGTTGGGTCATCGCAATGTGCAAGCCCGACCACCACGTCAAGGTAGCAGCTATCGGTCGGGGTGGCTCAAACTAATTGTTAAAGTCTTCATAGATTGATTTCATGTCTCGATTTGACCAACCTTAACTCTTTCCAATCTAGTCCTGTGTCAGCTAACGTTACTCGACGAGGAAGGCGATGATTTAGTATCCGTAATCTGTATCTTAGTCATCTCGATCGATATAGCCTCACAACCTCATCGATTGACTTTCCCTCCCTACCTCACTATTACTCACTACATTATATCATTTAACACGGGATACAGAATGCAAACACCTCTGGTCAGAGACAACTAGCCCTTTCATGTCTTCCAATTCCAAAAAACTGGTTCACTAGCTCAATTACTTCACTTTCTGTTTTCCGTCATGTCTTGGAACACTTGTTACATGTGCTGACGTAAAGAAATAGTCTGAGTTTATTGATGAGGCAGCCGCCTCCTCAAAACATTGCTCACACACCACCCTGTTTATGCTGATTAAATTCAACACCTATAGTCGTGTTTGCGTCTTTAATAGGTTATCGCCTTAGTTGTCTACCTTAGTTGATTTTTATCAAGGATTTTCAATTGCTCAGTTATTTAACTTAATCAGCGACGTACTTATGGGGGTCTCTGTTTCCTCATTTAAGTTCGTAGGCGTTGGTATCATCTCAGAAATTTCATAGTTGATTTAGTGGACATAGGCAGCATATTCCCGTTGGGTGAAAGCAGTTACGAGATGCTGAGTTTTCCGAACACTTCGAGTGGCAATAAGAAAACTTCTGAGGTGCTCTTCTTGCTGGTTAGTTACCTCATATTACCTCTTACTTGATGTGTAAATGTGAGGTGTTTTAATTCAGGCTATTACTCAATGGTGTCATGTGTTTATCCATTTACTGTTATTTTTAGACAAGGAGATGCATTTCACTACATTGTGATCAGTTATATCTTAAGACTGTGATAGTCGGTTGTTTAGAAATATAAGAAAGTCATGCTGTACTTTTATTGTTTTGAACTAGATGGTACGAAAATTTGAAAAAAGCATGGAATACTAAACTACTATCTCGTTTTAAATAGGATTTCTTTGTCAGTGCGTACTTGCAAATCCGTTAAGGATCGATCTTAGTTTTGACTAAAAGCTTAATCACTCACAGTATTCTTCTACGTACCGTAGTGTGACTAAACTGGTGACGTAGTTGTTCTGCTTGTTTGCTACTAAATACGCCTTTGTAGAGTTTATCTTCTTATTTTTCCCTAATCAGCCAATCTAACTGGATTTTAGAATACTCAGTTGGTTTATGTTGCAACATCAATAAGCTACTTCTTTGAATATATGTCGGTTTATTTTAGTTACAATTCGTACCAATTATTTCTTCCGAAGATAAACTTCAGTGCATCAATATTAATTTGCGAATTTTCATGTTTTAGTGATGTCAGCCTACGTAGACCTCTCAACTGTATTCAACTTTGATAATAGAGGTCAATATGTAGAAATTTCTCCCGATCGAATGAAAGCCCGACGACAGGTTGGCTTTTGTGATGGTGTTGTTATCTCTCAAAACTTTATTCGACCTGGTGAACTGGTAGCAGTTGAAATCACAGAAACACAGCGAGGATGGAGTGGCGATCTCAGAGTGGGATTCACTCTATTGCCAGACCAATTGCTTTTACCTCTTCCAAGGTTAGCTTTTTATCCTCTGTTCAGTGATTAGTAGTGTGGTGTGTATTAATCAATTCAATGTCTACTTTTATATAGCTATTTTCATTAGACGTATACTGTAGTGATTCGGTTTTTAGCCACTTCGACAGTATTCATCCAACAATTCATCAAACCTTCCACGGTTAACAAAATAACTCTTCACACTTTCTGGAAATTTCACTAATGATAAAAAAGGAGGACTTTATTAGAAGAATACTCCGAAAATTGGAGACCAAATCCCAATAAATACATTTTCTTATTTTTGTACCAATAAGGTGCAAGAGTGATTTTGTTTAGATCCTTCACATTTAGGCTGAGGCCATTCTGCTCCTGAGTGTGCAGTAAAGACATTCTAAGTCACCCGAAATATTTTGGGCGGAAAAGAATATTCAGACAACTTAAAAAAAGATAGACTGTAACAATTGTAAATGCGAATTGGTGACGACGGAGAAAATATCTTTATCTTTGCCTGCTGAACCTAGTGACATTCTACTCAGGAAATTTGTGCCAAACTTTCAATAACCATCCAATATTCACTCCGATACTCAAAGATAATATATTTTTAGTTGATGTTTGCCCTTACACCGGTTTTGTATTTTTTGCAGATCAAGTTACGTATAACCCACGATTGAGCAAATTCGTCTTCGGATTCCAGCATATTTCCTCTTCTGGCTGTAGAAGAATGAAATTAAATGTCTAATAGACGCAAGACATTATGTAGATACTGATATGGCCTTTAGTGTGATATATCATATATCTGAAACATTATCACACACATTCCATATGTGTCCCCTTCACATAGTTAGAGTTGTGGTAATAAGATAGAATAAGTTAAGACTCTACTTTGGAAAGGAGCACTGATTGATCAATCTGTCACTTCAAAATCTTTCACTAAAGTGCTACAGTTAAAGTTTCTACATCTCGGACAAACATATGCTGAACTAAAGAAAGAAAAAAAGTGGAACTACAACGGATAAAGATGTCTTGTTCTTTAGACCCCATATTATTTTTTCCACGTATTTCCCTTTTTTTCTTTCTTTTGTCTTCTAAACAGTCTTGGTTGCAGTTATTTGTATCCCTCATCGTAACAACTTTCCAACATAGGCAACTTTTCTGCATATGCAGACTGACACCAACCGTGTCTTCTAGTTTATTATTAATGTTTCTGTTTTGAATATGGTTCCATCCCAACCATTTTACATATTGATTATTTCATAATGACCTATCCTTTATATAGATTTGGTCGCTAACTGACATCAGAGCAAGGTCACTGAGAACTAGAGAGTACTGGATAGCTATTTCATCCCAGCTGGGGATTATTCAGCAGTAACCATCCTTGACGCTTTTAATGTCAGTTTGCGACGAAGTCTTCACCGCTAGTGTTGTCCCCAAGGAACACTAGCGAGATACTAACACAGCGTATTAGAAACGCGGTAAAACGAGCATTCCCTGCTGCTGAATTACGTTGTATCTTCAAGACTACTTCTCTTCTGCTTCCGGGAGTAAAAGACAAACTGCCTAATTTCGCCTCATCCATGTGTATCTACCAATTTAATTGCTCCTGTGGAGCAAGTTACATAGGCCGCACAATTAGGCGTGTTTCTCGTCGAATTTCCGAACATCACCCTGCGTGGTTAAGCAAAGGCCAAACAAAATCTATCCGTAGCGCTATTTTGGCTCATCTGGTGGATACAGAACATAGGATTGATGTTAATCAAGCTTTCAGAGTTATTTATCGGATACCAACAAATCTCAACTTCGCCTTAAGAGTTCGATTACTAAATATTGCTGAGGCTGTTGGGATCCACATTAAAAAGCCTAATTTGTGCGTCCAAAAGAAGTTAGTTCAGACGCTGTCCCTACCTTGGCCATCTAGGTTTGAATGATTCTCAATTTTCGTGAAAATTTCCTAATTTTAGTTGATATCCTACTCGCTATTATATCTTTATTACTATTATAATTTAAGTATTTTTAGTGAACTGTAATTGCATTCATCTTGCTTTACAAATCGATATTATTTAAAAAACACTAATATTGTTATTAACTACCAACCTTGAATATTCTGTGTATATAAACATGTATATAATTGTAGAGCCAGAAGAGGAATTTATCGAAAAGAATATTCTTTGCTCGATTATGTTGTGTTTTATAGATATTATCACAATAACAAATTTGTATTTTATAATCATAAGAACCTGGAGAAAACTCAAGGAAAAGAATAGCTTTTGCTTAGACCATCTTTCATTTCATGGGAATATTTCGAGCTCTGATACATCGTGATCTCCTCGATCTTCTCGTTTGTCTATGTTCTGTTTCACGAATATCATTATCCTTCAAATCAGTCATCGGATATTATGAATCCTGTGCTGAATTCCTGTACAGTGTATATCACTGACTAGTATAATGAGTTGGTGAACACTCATGTAAATCAGTCAGTAGTGTATACTTTGCAGGTATCTTGTATGCCAGTGCTGACCCCTTGTTTTAGTATCAACCAGATCATCTGTTTGTAAATGAGATCGTGGTGAGATTGCGTATTAGACTGCATAATATGCAAACATTTCATTTAAGTTTGTATGAAATTGTTCAGCGATAGCTTTTCTGTCACTTACTTTACAAATCCAGGTTTACTTCTGTAAAAGATGTTTGCGCCCTTTAGAAAATGTTTTATTAAGCGTTTACTTTCTTTTAAAGTGCTATGATAAGCTAGTAATCACAAATGCTACCTTCTTCGCTTATATGTTGAATGTCGTTAGTGTGTGACTAGGTTGCCTGCTATCGTAGATTATCCTCTGTTTCTAAGGCAATCAATTATTGTTTAATTTTATTTTAAAATTTTCTGACTTACTGATTTTCCCATAGTAATGTAACTATAAAATACTTACTGGCTGAATATAATCTTCCACAGTATAAATCTATACAAACACTTTATTCCTGTTTTTATTTACAGATTTGCTCTACCTGCACTGGTTTCTCCAGGCAGAAGTTGGATTGTACCAGTTGGGACTGCCGTAGCTCTTCTCTTATCTCATCATCATCAGACCTACTGGAGACGTCAACAGCTGAAATGTAGTCGTCATTTAAACAGAGCTAGTACCAGTCCACTTACATTGTTTGATTCACTTAATAAATTCCGTGATAGACAGATAGATGTATCTGGTATGAATGCAACAAGTGGTTTGATTAATAGTCCTAATTTATTGGGAACTAGTTCTCATGTGAATAAACAAGCAATTCATTTAGAAGTTAGTCCTTCCTACGTTTGTATTTGTTGCCTCCATACGAAACGTGGTAGAGTTCCACTGAGTCAGTTGGTGCCGCATGAGCTAGAACTAGCTCGACCTCCGGATGTTGAGAAAGGTAGTGTTATAGCTATCTATTATGAACTGGAACCTGTGTCATCGAATCATACATCTACAAATCCTTCTAGTCCTTTAGGTGAAGAAAATACTAACATACTTAATGATATTGGTGATATTCCTTCTGTGGTACCGGATGAAAATGTACAAAACCTCTTCAGATATACCCTAGATCCTACTGGAAGTAAAGAAGATCCAAATGCAGAGAAAATACTTTTTCACTTTCGCTTTCATATTGTTATTAATGGCATAGATATGGTGGCTATAGCAGTAAGTCCTAATTCTTTATTAAACACAACTTTGTAGTTCACATGCATTCGTTTTACTGAGGTTATTTTTAAAGACGTTTTGCCCACAATATCAATAATCATTCACTTTATATATATATGCGACGAAGTCTGCACCGAAGGGAATCAAATTCCTATTGTGAGTGGAATATAAGGCTTAAGTGGAGCACCTCCATTGCACTGAATTTTATGCTATCGCTTACTGCTTTCCCTACAACTACCCACAATCCTTCGTCTTTTCACATAGTCTTTCTCATCTCATCATCTAATTCCCAACACGTTTCTGTTCTTTCCGGTTCCACTCATGGGCATGGCATGTGATATCGCTTGAATATCTCCTCTGTGTATTCCCAATCCGCCTTTATTTCTTCCGCATTATTGCCGGGTCATAGGTTATTTACTAGTTTACTAGGAGACATACAAGAATAGTTTGCATAGTTCTAACATTCTAGTATCCTTTTTAGGGTTCACCCTATATTATCAAACCGGCAATTGAATCGCTATACGCTGCATCAGAGCTCTGGTTTGATCTTCTGCATTTTGTAATATTTTATCTTTTACTTACACTTCATATGGGCATGACAAATTATACTTTTCTCATCGACTATCTTATCGATTCAGATGAATGAACTCAACTTATCACGCTGTGTTATCATGTTTTTTCTTCGTTTTGGTTTTGTGGTTATCTTTTTGTCTATGTTACAAAAAATTAATAAATTGGATAGATTGAGAGTAATTCTGTCTTCAGTCTACGTGATGGTTTTCTAATAACCTAACTGTTTAGCAATAAATGTAGCTACGAAACAGAGATTTCTTTTTGAAATTTTGGTTCACTTGAGTCGACCTATGCAGTACTGTAATATCTACCTTAAGTAGGGAATGGGGATGTATTAGTAACATATAGTAATACTTCTGTATACATAGTAGCTTTCTCTATCGTTTGATTCTTAGTTAAATACATTCGTCCTAATTTTATTTCTATAAACGCCTTAATTTCATTTCTCCTCTCGAGTAGTTCGACGAATGCGTTATTTTGTTCTCGAACTTGAAGTCTTATACTTATGAGTATGTGTATTTTTTAAGAGGAAATTACTTCACTACTCCACAGCTCATTAGGGCTGTGATTCATTGATCATTCGATGGAACGATTAGTGAAATATTTACTGCCAACATCGCAATTTATTCAGAATGCTTTCCAACATTTATAATATATCTTTTTTCCTTGCACGTTCCCATGTGCATCTATATTTTTCGAAAATTATGAACGATAGAGTAAATTATAAAAGGGTTCAGACCTTCAAACACACTAATGTTGTCACCTTGTTAACTACACTTTCTGGATGAACGGGGTTAGACGTTGAAAGACCATAGATAGTAACACATATTCAGACAACTTATCGAATACTTCTAATGGTTGCCATGTTAATGTGGGTGCGAGTACGTTCTCCTACGAATCTTGTAGTAGTAATTTGCATGTACCATACCTATGGATACTGATTATCAACCGACAAGGTAATATTTGGGTAGTCTATGCATTATCCCACAGTGAACTGATGTCATCCCCTTATTCAAGGTTGTGAAGCCTTTCTTCAGTCAGGAGATCGGCACTGCTGTCACACTCATCCTTCATAGTTGTATTTAGAATGTCATTGAAGACGAGGTTAAAGAGAATTGGGGAAATTGGACAAGCGTGTCCAACGCCATTGATGTCTGGGTAGGTGTTCTTATGATTTTATTTTACCTGAGGTAATTTTGCATGGAGCATTGAGGATGTTGGTAAGCTCCTGAGATACTCCTTTATATACCACAGAATTTCACAGTACAGGGTTGTCCAATGAATTGAAGTCAGGCCCAATACGAAGAAATACAAAGACTTTTGTTGTAACAGTTGATGAAAAGGATGAACACGTGTTTGCAACCTGATGGGAACCCAGTATGCTGTTGACGAGCTTATTTGTCGAGGATTTTTTAAAGTCCACAGGAGATAACCGAAGACAGTATTTGTGATACACCCATTAGTTGGCTAACACTGTGATAACCGTTACATATATAATGCGATTTTCAAGCGTAGTCGCAACGTTGACCTTATTTCATGCTGATAGGCACTTTCAACGTCTTATATCTTCTGAAACAATCTAGTTACTTCTCTGGCTGGAGTTCTGCCACGAAATTAAGGAGCTGAGGGTAGTTTCCCGATCAAAAGCTGCTACTTTGACGTGGTGGTCGAGTTTGAACACCGCAATGACCTAATCAAGCTATACTGGCTGAGACTTATGTCTCTTGAGGTCCTACCATGCCAGACAGGTTGTTTGGATAGCGGTTAAACAAAAAGCAGCTACCCAATCCAACATCATGATACATAGAAAACACAAAATTTCATGCCGGATCGGCCGTGGCCCGGATTAACAACGACCGCGCTTCCTGCTGCCGTGTCACAGGGCAGGAGTGATAAATATGCTACTGAGACACACAAAACAAAAAGAACAAACAAAAGCAGGCCGCGTGTGACCGGCCCCAAGCAGTTGTCCCCTGGGCTCTGCGGTCACGCAACCAACTTCCACGGTGTGGGCAGCCGGGAAGTAACAATCGCCCTCACAATCCGAAATGCAGCGAAACCTCTCTATTACTCACTCATCTTTGTCTTCATCTTCATCTCTATCATCTTGCCTTCCTTCCACTGATGCAACTCCTCGACTTGATAGCTCTCCACTTCCTCTCCACTCTGCGTCCACTAAAAACGATGGAAGCCAAAAAACCACCACCGACAGCCTCTTAAAGCCGCGCCACCAATTTCATATAGGAGCTCTTAATGTTAGGACACTTTGCCAAATAGGACAACAAGCATCACTAGCCAAGACCCTGGCATCCCGAGCCATTGATGTATGCTGTGTTTCAGAAACACGCATACAAGACCCAAGTGTGGTTATTCACCTAACCCCACCTGGCCAACAGGTTGAATCTGCAAAATTCACCTTGAGGGTGTCAGGAGATGCCACAGCTAGTTCACGAGGATTAGCTGGCGTAGGGATAGCTTTGAGTACTAGGGCAGAAAAGACATTGCTTGACTGGATCCCGGTAGATAGCCGAATGTGTGCTGTCCGTCTGAACGGATCAGTAAAAAGGAGAAAGGACTGCACTACTCGCCGATGCCTTTTCGTAATCTCCGCCTACGCCCCCACTGACTGCAGTTCAGATGAAACGAAGGATGAGTTCTACCAAAAGCTGTCTAGTTTGGTGCGAAAGGCTAAACGCTCAGACATAGTCGTTCTAGCTGGTGACTTTAACGCTCAAGTAGGGAAATTGTGTCAATCTGAGAAGGATGTCGGTGGCACCTATGGAGTTCCGTGCCAGCGAACCGACAACGGTGACCGTCTCCTACAGTTCTGTTCTGATAATCATTTGTTTCTTGTAAGCACTAACTTCAAACACAAGGAGAGACACTGTTTGACTTGGAGACCCCCTTCATCAAACCAACGCTGGACACAAATAGACCACATAGCAATAAGCTATCGTTGGCGTGGGTCGGTAGGAGATTGTCGCTCCTTCTGGAACACGTGTGTAGATACCGACCATGCACTGGTCCGCGCTCGGGTGTGCTTACGACTGAACGGACGTAGGAAACAGCTGGCGGTAAAACCATCACGTCCCCAGCTCGATCAGGAAACTAAATCCGTATTTGAGGAAGAACTAGCTAAACACATATCTGTGTTCGACAGCTGTGCTCACCCTGAAGAAGCTTGGAAAAATATCCAGGCAGCCATAGATACAGCTGTAAAAGCTGTGAATAAGGTAAACCCAAAGGTGAGTAAAAACCACTGGATCTCCACCGCCTCATCCGAACTGATAGATGCTAGAAGACTTATTCCGGCGAGCTCCGAATTCAATGAGGAGCGAAAGCTGCACAAGAGGAAACTTACGAAAAGTCTCCGCAAGGACCGTGAACAGTGGTGGGTGACAAAAGCCAAAGAGATGGAGAAAGCTTCGAGGATAGGCAACACCAGGCAACTCTTTAGACTCATCAGGGAAACGGGTGGGAGAAGACAAATCATCAGTGAAACAATCTCGGAGAAAAATGGCACTATAATTAGCTCCCAGGATAGACGACTGAGGGTAGTTTATTCCAAGATGAATGCCTAGTGGGATATGAGTACATAAAGTGCTTCTGGGACCTTTGTACTGCGGCTTCGGAGCACCGTAACTTAAAACACTGCACTCTGTCTCTACCGGTCATTCAAATTGTTTTTAATTATTAATCCTAGCATTCCAGTCACGCCGGTTTGGTTCGGCGCCCTGTCTTTGAAACGCAGTAAATTAATAATCAATAACCTCAGCTATATGTAAATGTATTTAATTACCTAAGTCAGATTGCGAAATAATTATAATTGCGAACTTAGCCTTTCCAAGACTATTCAGTTTTTTTGTTTCCCTTGCTAGGTTCTAAAATATCAGTTTAGTTTTGATGGATGAAATCGATGTAAAGTTGTAAGTGTAAATCTCTGGAACTATATTTTTGAAGACTTTGTTGCTGTGGGAGATTTTTCAAAAACTTTATAATATACAGACTTGTATTAATAAATTTATTTAACCGTTTGCTCCTATAGGAAACAGTATCCATTTCATCAGATAATTTCGCAGTTGATCAGAGCGATCCAGAAATGTCATATGCTCATCTCAGTGCTGATTCGAACCACGTTGATTCCAATGATACTAATGAAGTCCCCAGATCTCCAGCATCTTCTGATCGTTATTCTTTTGATCCAGTCATTTTATCTACTCTGCGTATGAGGGCTGTTTTTGATGTTTACGGTCAGACCAAAGCAATCCAACTACGTTCATTACAACAGGCAAGTTTTCCCCTTTTAAGGATTTCACTACTTTACTGTTTTTGTCTGTAGATTAAAGGTAGAAATACGTCATACTACTGATTATTTGATTTTCGGTAGTACTTAAATGATGAATACATTATAAAACGATGTTTAAAGTTAAAGAAAGCAAAGATTGTTGGAGAATTGGAACTATTAGCCTTTAAATGCAACCCAATTCTTTTTCATCCCCATAAACATCGAATCATCTCCCGGGCACCCTAACATCTAATAATAATTAATGTATGCACGTCTGTAATTTCAGATGATTTGATTCAGGTGAAGTAAAAATATCAAGTGAAACTTGTTATCCACCCTGAAGTTCATATGCTAGTTTGTGTGATTGCAAAACACATCGAGATCTTTTGGAAGAGGCACGTTGCATGAAACGCTACACTACAAAAAAGTGATGGTATATACTGTTTGTTTCTCTACCCGTACAAAACATTATCATTCATGTGTAGTATTTACTTTTAACAAACACTTTCTTCCATTTTATTTCTACACTTATTTTGTAGAATTCAATCGCATCATTAAGTCGTTTGTGCTCATGTGCAATTCTTCACCATGTCTTCTGTTTGTTTCAATCTAACAGTTTTCTAGCTAATGACACGTTGAATTATAATTCAAATAACAATTTTCCCAGTACAATTGTAAAATCTGGTAAGCTACGGAATTCACAAAGTGTTATTCCGCATATAATGAAAAATAATCGAATCAGACAATTATACACAATATTGGATAAGCTTCCATTGCCAAGAGTTGAAAGACGTCGTTTACAACGTGATGCTTTTGCTGTATTGGCCCGCGGAATATCGGATTAATGCGTATATAGTATAAAATATTTTCCAGAAAGATTTATTTCACTTATCAGTGGAGAAAAATTGTCTGTGATAACACAAAAAATACAGGCAATGTAAAACCTATTCATAAACACTTCACCAAATGTCTTTCATTATCAATTTTGTGTTAGGTTTTACCTGTGACTCCTATTTTTAAACGAATAAGAAGGCAAGCAGAGAAGCAAGTTGAGAAGAATGAAATGAAATGATGAAATTGAATATAATTGCCCATTGAGCTATTCAGTCGCTTCTTCTTGTTCTTCTCCTTATTTTCCATCGTATTGTTAGTCATTTGGCTCATCTTACTTATCTTATTTATTTATTTATTTAATTGTAAAGGATATATTTTGGAACGCTTAAATTATTTCTGTCATCAAAGTGTTTTCAGTTATTTTCTTTCTTTTCTTTATAATGCTTTTTATCATTTACAGAATAAATACTGATTAGCTAATAATAATTAGGAATATCAGAAATTGTAATTCCAATAAAGTTATTTTAATTCAAACACTGTAGATTTCTTATTTAGTATTTTGTGTATGGAATTTGTACATTGATTGAATGTTTGTTTATCTTAAGTATGTATGCAGTAGGCGATGAGAATTCATCTGCTTCAGTATAACAATCATATTTCGAGTATTGGTTTGTAGGGATTTGGTTGATTGGTTACAAGATTTCACCATGAGCTGACATTGGTTAGAAAACCATTGGAAAACCTGGGAGTACTGGAAAGCTTTTCGTCCTTGTTTGGGACTCTTCAGCAGTATGCATTTTAACCAGAAGGTCCTGGGTTCGAACCCCGGTGGGTGCGTACTGATGAAGAGTCCCAAACTATGACGAAACGGCTGTCCAGTACTCCAAGGTTTTCCAATGGTTCTCTAACCAATGTCAGCTCATGATGAAATCCTGTAACCAATCATATTTCGTCTTTTTTGTTGTTGTTAAAAATGGGCAATCATATTGCTTATGGGAAAAACCCTTAGGATCTATCTCCATGTTTGAAGGACTAAAACCAACCTATGGAACATTGTTGTCCTGTATTACAATTTAATAAGAAACGTGTTTTGAGCTCCTAGAATAAAAATATGTGTCAATTTAGTCTTTATTCAACAGAACCCTTATGTAGGTGAATGCAAAATTCTTTGTGTAGTCACTTACAACTTACAAGCAATCTCGATACGCTTCAGTGAGGTAAAACAAATCAACCAGTCGCCTTGTGAGAATTTTAATGAAGGGATAGCAATTAATCGGATTCAACATTTACAAATGAACCGTTAAGGTTATACTCCCTAGACTCTCTCATCTTTTCATCAAAACACTTGTACGATCGGATTGCTTCAATTTCTTCACGAAATTATATTCTTGATGATATCAAACATTTTTATTTTCAGTCTTATGATTAAAACACCACTGTAAAAAGGCATTCAATCTTAAAATTTAGTTAACACTTTTAAAACAGGCTTAATGCGAATTAAAAATCCTGGTGTTTAAGATAGTTTATGGTTAGTGTGCATCAAACAAAAGTTTCCGTTTATTCATGTGTATCAGTTTTAGAGCTTGGCGTCCTTTGTGACTTTTATTTACCAGTGTTTATTTGGTACTATATTAACCAAGTATGATCTGTTAGTTTTGAGTGTAGATTTTAAGTAGTTTCTGTCTGTGCAATAAAGAGGTAGGTCGCTTCATTGGTCATTCTCGTTGACTTTAAGTTTGAATTGTGCAACTTCCTGATGAACTCTACTTCAGTGTACAGCGACGGTGATCAAAAGGCAGAATAGGTGCTTGGGTCACATTGAAATTTAACTAGACGACTTTCGGATCACTATTTCCACCGCTCCTTACAGTTATGATACTTATATAAAGGAATGAACTTACTGTCAGACAGAAAAAAAATTTCTTCAGGTTCTAACTCATCAACTTAGCTACTGAATGCATATAACCTGTACAATGGAGTAGTCCTTATATAAGTGCATAAAATTAGCAAAATATCCAATTAAGTAGCAATATTTATAGAAGCATTTATGATCTGAAATTTATCGGATAGATATTCTAAATTTCGAGCAGAATTGATTCGTAAAATATTGAAGAATAAATCTTATTCGTCTTTTGAAGAAAATTCACACATCAGCTATCATTCATTTTTATTTATATATTCATATTTTCAGGATATTCACATTTTTTTTAAAAAATTTATTATTTTTATTCATCAATTGCAGTCATTTGTTACTATGCCATCAAATAATAAAAGTGCACTAAGACAAACCAACCGAAATCTACGAGCAGAAATTGATGCACTTAAAGCTCAAGTGGTACAGATGAAAAATGATTTATCGCAGTCGCGTACAATTCGTCCTAAAATTGATCAAATGAGTACTGAAGTTGTTGACTCTAATCCATATAGTCGGTTGATGGCACTTCAGCGCATGGGAATAGTTGCTGATTATGCTCTGTAGGCAATTTTTTTATGAAGGTTTATTTTTTTTAATCATCTGTTAGCTGAGTAGTTCATATGTACACTTTACAATCAATGTTTTATTAATTTATGAGCATTTTTATTATTCTTTGTTAGCTGATTTATCTAAGTTCGACGTCATTATAAACTCGGCGGGGGGGGGTTATAGGTGATAGATGAGTTTCAGAATAGTTTTCTTCACATTATCATAGAGAAAAGGAGAACAGTAGACATTTATTTCGCAATGAGTGCACATCCATGATCAATTCAGCAGCCAAACTTAATGCCTGTTAGACTAGCATTTCATAATTAAGTTATGCAGAGTATGCAAATAATAACGTGTTAATAATATTAGACGGCGGTGTTGTTATGTGGCAAGTCTGAGAATAACAAATCATTAGGCTCTGTTGCGGATTGTTTGACTTCGAGACTTTCATTTTTGTTTAGAAAGACAGCGGTAGCTTCTCATCTCAGCCATCTAGCTATGGGTAGCGCAACAAAACCAAACACATCCCCCCTGGGCTGCAAATCTGTCTTTTCAGTTTCGTCAGTGGTTAGTTGGTGAGATATTCACTGATGTAATCTAGAAAACTTGGGCTAGATTCAACACTGTCGTGGGTGTTACTAAATACTATTATCAGAATATTGATTCTGTGAATTTCACTTCCTCTGTGGAGGTTTTCATGTTTCTGTCTTTATTCTTAATCATTTAGAATTCGAGAGAAAACTGTGGTTATAGTGGGTGTTGGTGGTGTTGGCTCAGTTACTGCAGAAATGCTTGTTCGATGTGGTATCGGACGTTTGATTTTATTTGACTATGATAAAGTTGAGTTGGCTAATATGAATCGATTATTTTTTCAGGTAAATAAAAGTTTTTTATTGTCATTATAATAGCTAATGCTTTTTGTGTCTAAATAATCTTAGGAAATTTATCCCGTTTTCTGTTTTGTGAAGTAAGTTAAGCCAACTTTTATTCATCCTGGATTATTCATCTGTATTCTTTTGCTCTTTAAATCCAGTTGATTTATTGTAGTTACATTTGTCGTAGAAATTCGGAAAAATAAAAACAGTTCTCATTGCACATAAAAACTGTCACATGGAGTATCTATTGATAATATTTTTTGCTTTGAAATCTTCCACACTACATGTATTAAGAGCTACTCTAAACTATGCCCACATTACTCGATATTTATCATTACTTAACGACTTCTTTGAATTCCCAAAGTTGGCATAGTTTAATGCCAGAGGGGTTGTATTCTAGTTTAGTTGTCCTTTAATAGTGTTGACAGATTTCCGTCGTCAATTATCTCCATATACCATTGGATAATTTACTCCTACTTAGAAATACACTGTATACGTGAAGGAGGATCGAAGCTGATACCTAGGCCAATGTCTTAAACATTATTCTAATAATCCAAAAGCTCTGAAATCACAGAAGCCAATGGGACACCTGCACCGTAAAGTACAAATTTGTATCATTGAAATGGTAGAAGACGGAAGACTTGGTAAAGAGATATTCAGTTGGAATTTGGTATATCTCTATATAACCAAATTAATTATGTAAACCTTATCTTCATCACACCATTTGCTCAGATCTTCTGTGTCGTTCTACTTCTGGCGTTCCGATAGTGTTTCTTTGTGTTCTTTTCATATGTCTCCCATGCATCTTCACAACGCTATATCATTTGCTTTCTCTGATATCGAGCCTATCTCCCTGCTATTTGATATTTTTATACCGATGAATGACTCTTTATATACTACTGATAAATCTTATTAGTAGCACACGCTACACCACAGTATCAAAACTGTGAGTGTATTATGTGTATTTCACGGTCTCAGAAAGTTATGAATTTCCCTATCTGCCTTATTCAATGTATTCTTATGAATGAAGTAAAATCAGTTTATATGGTAGGTTCTTCAGTTTAGATAATCATACTTACTTACATTCTTATAAAACAGTAATTTTATTCATTTTGTGAATGAGTTTTTTCTAAGCGTCCACACTGTCTCAATAAAATCAAGGCAGAATTAAACACATAAACGTCCTTATCCTTTCATATATCTAAGGTGTGTAGTATTTCGCAAACAGCATGTCTTTCAGTTAACATATCGCTGAGATTTAACCGAATCAAAAATTTATTTTGGTACTTTATAATTTGATATTCGAGTCGGTGCTGAGAGGTGAAGCAGTGTTCAGCACACTTTTGTATAGCTAGTTGATTTTAGTAGTGTGTAAATGACTCTCAACTGCTTAGATGTATTGTTACTTTGTGTAGAATCGCTTTAATGTTCACAATCTTAACTTCAATTGTAGTGTCGAGTGGATCACATTTTACGCTTTTGAATACTTCTTGTTTCCAAAAGAAGTCGTGATTAAATTGCGTCTTGAAAATTTTTACTTTTTGTAAACACTTGGTTTGATTTTTCCATGATTTGTAGTAGCCGTTTCTTTAGAATGTAGAAGCGGTGAACTAATTTCGAATGCTTATGACAGAGATAATGGTATAGAAAAAAAACAACATCTGACTCTAAATTCATATTATCTTATCACTAGTCAAAATGCTCGAAACATTAATCATTGTATAGTGCTAACAGATCTTAATGATATTTCTTGATATATGTATGCACTTATACTTTAGGTTATTGAATTTAGAGCTACAAATGAACAGTTGACTTATTTAGCTGTGACGGGTTTTTAATGTGAGATTTAGCTTAGAATACATTTATCATGGAGATAAAGATCTATCACTTAAGCTTTTCACTTAATGCTGAACAACCTAAATGAGAATAACGGTATTTAGCTTTATTATGCGAACTGGTTGAATGAGTCTTCATTTCTTCCCTAGTTTGAAATAGTTTAAAATGCTTGGTCGAGCAGACACTCCTCTAGGATTTTGATAGGTACACTCCTCGGAGTTGTGTACTACAGTACATGAGAATATCAGATGACTGAATTAAAATATGTATTTATCTGGTCAGTAACTTGCATTTATCAGCATTGAGATGATTAAATCAGTTGCTTATCGAATTCTCTTGCAACGTTAGCTATTGTCAGATGTATCTTAAGAGTGAGCATGTTCTATGGATTATTACATGTATTTATTTAAAAAATCTTCATGAAATGATATTATGTATATGTATATGCTTATTTTAATCCCTCTAGTTTTTTTTAAAAAGAAATATGATGCTTTTCTCTGCTTTATAGCCTCATCAGTCTGGTCTCAGTAAAGTTGCTGCTGCAACATCCACCTTGAGTTTTATTAATCCAGATGTACAAATTGAAGCGTATAACTACAACATAACTTTAGTAGAAAATTACGACCACTTTCTCAATCGGCTGAAGTGTGGTGGCTTAAAACCGGAAACTCCTGTAGATTTAGTGTTAAGTTGTGTTGACAATTTCGAAGCTCGTATGACCATTAACAAAGCGTGCAATCTACTTGGTCAGGTGGGTACTTTGTATATTTTTTATGTTAATTGTACAACACGTTTACCTGGTTGTATTTCCTTGATTTTGTTGTATTTTGTAAATTTTAGTGTTTTGATTACAAAACTGTTTGCATTAATATCAAACGGCGTCGTGAATGCAAGCTTTTTTACGATTTTCATGATAATTATTGTTAGAAAGAAAACGTAGGATGTAGTATTATATTTAGTGTAGAGTGGAGTGGTACGTTGTTGCCTAGCATTATCCATGTAATACTGTTACAGAACAGTTAACTCTTAAGAAATCCCGAAAATAAGACCCGGATTTTCAACTCCAGTGTGAAGTCAGTGCTACTTTATGGATCAGAGACTTGGCACGTCCTGCAGAGCACTTCAAACAAACTACAGACATTCATCAACAGCTATCTTCGCTCAGTAATCAATATCAGATGGCCGGCCAGAAAAGATCAGTAATAGTGAGGGGTCTCTGGAAGCGAACCAACAGAGCAGGAATCGATTGTGAAACAAATAAGCAGGAAGAAATGGAGATGGATTGGTCATACTCTGAGAATACTATCAAATGAGTGACATCACACGCCAGGCCATTGCTCGAGTGGAACCCGAACGGGAAGCGGCGAGTTGGTCGTCAGTGCGAGGGTGACATGGAGGAGGTCATGTGAAGAGAAAATGAAAGCATGTGGGCAAATGTGGAGCCAGGTGAAAAGGTTGTCAGAGAACCGAACGCAATGGAGACGTGCAGCTGAAGCTCTATGTTCCTCTAGGAACTAAAGGAAATAATAATACCTCAAGTGAAATAGTTCATGAAGTGAAATATCTCATTATCTTAAATAATAATGTAAGTACTAAGTGCTATACCTACAAACAATATGGTATTTAAAAAGTAGAACTTGGTTATAGTAGCATACTCAAGTCTTGCATAACCATATTAATAGTGACTCGGTCTTCGAACAGTCAATAATTCGTCGATGTATTCAGCAGTACTTTCTGATTTCTTATAGTTTGAATGAATTTTGTCTTATTGCACTGAAATGAATTTTGGAAATTGAGGTTGTATGAGGTTGAAGTTTGTTAATGGTCCTTCTGTGTTTCTTTTAATGGATTATGATATGACCTCTAGTGTTTACAATCTTCTGATTCGCAAGTTCCTAATAAACTTGAGGAAAGGCCTGATTGTGGGCAGCATTGTGTTCGAATACTTGAGATAAGTATTCTTCAGTTAAGTCCTTTGGTCTCAAAATGCACTTTTGAACATCTTACAACTGGCTTTCAACTAGATACCGCGGATTTCTTGAAGGAGAATGGTTTGCGCTTCAACTGAGAGATCATTGTGTCACAGGATATACTGTCAATTAATATTTTAGTTGAAGATATTGTATGAACGAAAAATAAGCAATAAACGCCTGAAAATTCTTTACATTTTATAAATGGTGTTCAGAATAAAGATATTATTCTACTTTCATTTAATGACAATTTATTTTCGTAGGTCTGGTATGAATCTGGTGTCAGTGAAGATGCTGTCAGCTGTCATATACAACTAATGTACCCTGGTCGTACTCCATGCTTTGAATGCTTACCACCCCTGATTGTAGCTAGTGGATTAGATGAGAAGACTTTAAAACGCGAAGGTGTATGTGCAGCATCATTGCCTACCACTATGGCTCTGGTCTCCTCACTGTTAGTTCAAAATACTTTAAAGTATCTACTAAAATTTGGCGAAGTATGTTTTTTCCTCATTTTCACCTAATTTATTATCTGTGTTTATCCATTTCCGAAATCTTGTTAGCTTATGTGTATGTTTCCCTACATAGAGTAATTATTGTATTATAAGCTTAGATGAATTTTATGTATCACTGTCTTCGTTTATGAACTCATTTATTTATTTGGTGATGGTGGTGGTGTTTGGCTTGTTTGACCAAATATTTAATTCTGGACTGATGATTCCTTGAGAACTAAAGTCTCACCGTAGACTGGGAAATTAGACACTATCATAAGTATACATAGCCTGTTATACTAATTATCAGTGCCGACTAAGTGAATGGATAGCAAACTAAAATTTTATGACAGAGCTTCGTAGATCTTTTGTTAATATCGAGAAAGATATTATGTGAATAAGGAGTGAGCCGTGCGTCAGTAGTACAGAGGTAAAATGCTTGCCAACCAACCACGCATGTTGTCTAGGGTTCTATCCCCGACCGACGCACTTCTCTACCTCGCTAAACCGGTAATAAGACTGGTAAATGCGGGAAGGTTGGGCATGAGGCTAGCAAACCCATCCGGTAAAAGTAAATACCACTTCAAGCCTCTATCTTGAAGCCCTCTGTTCCACTGGGAACGTAAAGGAATAAAAAGAAAAAAGCAGTAGTCCCGGTATTACTTATGATTTCTTGTAAGCAAATTAGATTTCATTCTTGTAGTGTTTATTTTTTTTCGTGACGTTTCTTCAATGATTATATCAGTTGCCCTATTAGCTGTACCTGTTTGTATTGGTAGTATTTTACGCACGTGTTGAAAAGTATGTGCTAATGGAGCAAATTAGATGATATTTATTTTTACTTTTTATAACGATTGTTAAAGTAGAAAAAATGCTTTTCTACGCCTATATGCGCCCTATTTAGATACATTTATTTGTATACTGTGATTAAGTCATATGTTCCAGCTTTAAACAAATAATAAAGGCATATGAAATATTCTAAGTAATCTTTGTTACGATGAGCATATTTTTTGGCTCTGGTTTGTAATGATTTTATCATTTGGATCTAAAAAGGCCTTAATTATTTTAGCTACCCGAAGTAATAGTGGCTTCGTGTTGGATAAAACCACTGAATCCTTGTTTATTTACCGTCGACTTAAGCCCACTTTGATTTTAGACGACATAATTTAATAGTATTTAGAAAAGAAATTTCAGAAAAGCCACATTTCTACTTTGGTCACCTAACAGTGACTTACATGTATTGTTGTATATAGGTTGTACCATACATAATACGATATCGCCACTGAATCAGCAACCTCCCCAGTGGGATTATAGATATGCAAACCTGAAGAGTCTCGAGCTGGGACAAAACAGCTGTCCAAAACTGCCTGGTTTTCGATGGTTTTCTAATCGAAATAAGTTCATATTCAAACTTGAAACCAGATGTAGTTTTGAAGCATTTCTTCGTAACCATTCCTTATATAATAAGGATGTTGATTGTCGTAACAGTTATATTTTGATCTCGGTAGAAATTGACTGCAGTAGTCACTTAGTTTAATTATATCCTTAATTAATAGGTCATACGTGTCTCCAAATTTACTTATTGACTTATTTGCTTTTGAATGGCAGGTGGTACTCACTGATATTTATAATGTAGTCGTGTTCCATTTACTGTAAGATTTTTCTGTTAACGCACTTTTTTGTTATCTGAATGTTGGAAGTTATTGTGGGTTTGCTAGCACTTGTCATCAAAACATAATTGTAACTAAGTGGGGAATAATGTTTTCTTATGGACTAAAACTTCCACTACATTCAGCTGTGAGGTTGGCCTTTTTGACTATACATCACAATATTGATTATTATTCTATCATTTATTTTTTTCAGGAATACAATAATACACGAGTGTTAACTTCACGATTTTTATTGTTATTGTTATTATCTCTTATAAAAGGTTTCTAGTTACTTAGGTTACGGAGCAGCTAAAGATTCATTCTACCGTGTTGATTTAAGGGCGAATCCAGATTGTGGTGATCAGTGGTGTAAACAACGTCAGACGGAATGGCGTAATTATCTCCAGAAAATGAATCTCCCGCTTAATTCACCCTGGGATATTGAAGAACGTTTAAAAGCAGATCAGGTTAGAGAGGAAAAACTCCAAGAAGCTCTATTGAAATCAAAGCATGAAGAAAATGATTTTGGCATTGAATTAGAATCGGAGTCATCTCCGGATACGGAATCCGCCGCCTTATCCAACTCTGCTTCCGAAATGAACGGTGGTGTAAAACCATTGTATTCAGTGAATGATAAAAAGACCGATGCAAATTCTCAGGACATACCAGATTCTTTCGTTTCGCAAACAGATGATAGTCTTGAAGCACTTATGGCTAAAATGAAACAGTTGTGATGACTTTTTTTAGACTTAACTGGTAAATATCATGGTATAATTGTTGATGATGAACGTCCTTTTCTCGTTGTATTTTGGTGTTTTATTTGCAGTCCGTGATTTAAATCTTGTGGCAATATGTGATACTTTTGTATTTGTCTCTTTCTTTATATTTTGTCGATGATATTTTTCTTCTAACAATAGACTTTACTTTGTGTTGTTGGGAAACTGTAATCAATCAAGAGTGAATAAAACTGTTTGCACCGGAATTGTTTTTTGTGTAATTTCTGTATTAAATTGGTCGGAAGACTTGGGACTTGCTTGGATGAATTTCGTTTTCACTTCCCTAATCTATTGGTTGTATCTGATTGAATGATTGATTATGATGGACTGTTGTCTTGTCACTCAGGTTGCGTCGTTGACATCATTTCAAAGTATTTTCAGCATCTCTTCTAGCTACTTATAATTGTTATCAGTAAGCAGTATTGTCATGTAGAGTTTTTGCGTTTTCCACTCATTATGTTAGTAATACGCGAATGGTTTGTGTCTAGTATGACCGTATCTCCCGGTAATTATTTTTCCCTGCGTTTAGCTTGAAAAAATCTTCATTTAATTTACTCTGTTCTGCACAGTAGTAGTAGTAGTACTCTAACCTATTGTTATGTGATTATAAGTCTCCAGACCGCAAATGTTACGAATATCCTGGAATAATTTGGGCGCCGAGTCACATTTAATCATTATAAATTATTTAAAATAATCCCAGTGTTTAAGAAAAAACCAAAACAAGATTTTTCTGTCTTGATATTACCTTAAACACGCTAGGATTATTTTGAGTAATTTATACTGTTGCTTTATGGTTTTGTTTAGTGTCAGTGCTTTTCAAACTTTGATGGTCGTTTGAAGACCCAATTGCATTAAACACTCAAAATCAAACTGCCGAATTCTGTTGCTGAAAGTCACGGACGTTGTACTTTGCTGTTTTGATGTTGAGTTATGGTAAAAATACTAGACATTGTCAAGATGCTACACTGTCTTGTTCATAATTGAAGTTTGTTAGCTCCGATTGTCTCTTTGCACTACACACAGGAAATTAGTCTGTGGCTGAGGTAAAGATCACGTGTCATATTAGCTACTGTGACGTTCCTTAGATTATACCTTGCACGATGCGGGATAAAGTACGTCTATTGAGAGTATAGTCAAGAACCCACTGGCTGAAAGTCCGTTGAACGTAACCTCAAAGTTGACTGCCTAACTAATTAGTAATCCTTATAAGAGTATGATTTTGGAATTTTATTGAGCAAGAAAGACTTGGACTATTTGTTAATTTTTTCTAATAGTTGTGTGTATTCGTGTATTCCTCTTTTTGAACTGGTCCTTTGCAGATGCAAACACCAGTTATTTTGAGAATTGGTTTCAAGGTTTAAAAACCAGGTGGGAGAACGAATGTTCTAATGTGATGTAGTTCATACTTTCCTAATGTATTACTGCTAATTACCGTCTGAGTAGCGTCAACTAAGCCTGGAAAAGAAGGAAGGTTAGGCGTGAGACTAGCATTTCCAGTCCATAAGAAACAACCCGATTGCTAGCAAAGCTTCAAAGCACAGTCTGAATAAATTAATTCAGAGTACACTGTGATGGCGAACCACTTAGCCTGATGGCCACATTACAAACTTGACTGGTATAACTCAGTCTGCATCAAAAAAAGACTAGACGCATGACACTAGGTACCACCTAGTGTCTGGCAGGCAGCAAATGGGTATACAGTCTATTATTCAACAAGTAAGGAAGAAATAGAGATGAATTGCGAACATTGAGGAAGCCTTCAATCACTGTTAAGAACGGGAAGCCACAAGTTAAGCTGCCTTCCGGGGCTGATATCTGGAATATGTGAAAAAAGAAATGAAAGCTCGTATTCAGTCATGAAGCCAGCTGAAGATGACAGGAGAGGACACTGCACAGTTCTGCTGGAAACAGGTTAGCACGCAGTTAGATGCCTGAACTCTTAAAAGTACTAAATCTGCGTTTCGTTTAACTACAAAATCATTTTGACTTCGAAAACACGTGTAGACTATTAATTTGAAAAGCCACTCTTCTGGCTCACTATATACAGATGTTGGTAGGAACACCAGATGCTGTCTTGAGAAGTACCTTCTTTATCACCGGGATTCTTAAGCCAAGGTTATCAACAGACCTGAATTTTCCGAATCTGGTTTGTATAAGTGGGGACCGCATGAAAGTGATTCAGGTTTTTCCTAAAATACGTCTATTGAATATGAATACATTTAGTAATTCATGTTTAACTACTTTCATCAATAGGCGGTCACATCAGTGATAATCTTTTCTCTAACACAAACTTAGTAGTTGTAATTCAGTCGTCACTAACGTTATTAGCATACATGTTTGTTTAAAAGATTCGCTAACCAATGGACGCAGAATGAGTGTTTTCAACTAATTAATATGTGTTATGGCTATTAGAAAGACTGCTTGAAGCATTGTTACTGTCTGTGAATGTTTTGTATATAGCATCTTAAGAATAAATTTTCAACTTCTCAACATCTTTTGAGATATATACGTGTGAAATGACAGTTGAAGTCATTTTGTATTACACATCATAGTTATTATGCAATGAAATACACTCAAATTATTATTTTTTAAATTATCATTAAGCTTGTTATTGACTTAACTAACCTATCATTATCGATTACAGTTAAAAATTGTCTAAGACAATAAAGTTTTTAAGTCATCCAAATCTAAGCATTAGAAGGCATTTATATTAGTATGTGCTGAGTTGGTTCACTTTTGATCTCATTTCTAATAAAAAACAACTGTTTCAGTAACGGAAATAATCAGAAGTGAATAGAACCGAAATGATCGGTTATATACGCAAGATTTTTTGAATAAGCAACTATTTTGAACTAAGAAAGAACGATCAAAATTTTAAGAGAATACGAACTCGTTTTATTTTTTTGTCGATTCTTTTCAACTGCGTTTGTCTTGAACAAAATGAAAATATAAGCTACAAAATTTCTGAACATACTTTCCTCACAGTGACGTCGAATTATAGATAGAAAGTATGAGCAACGTAATTTCAAAAATGATGTAAGCAGACAATTTACTCAGTGTTAAAAGACTAATTATTTACAGTATATTTAGACAAGAAGGGAGTAGAGTTCAGATTTCTCTCAGAAACAAGGATTGACTAAAGGCAAAATACAAGATCGAACAACATGGTGAATTTATACATATTTTTTTATTTTTGATTACAGCTTGATTCCGCACCGTATGTTTTAGTACAAGTATGGAATTTTCAGCATGGATATCGGTAGCCCAAATTTTGCAGTCTGACCAAAGATATCAAGTGTGCGTCAGCAAGCGATCGAACCTCGGACCATGTGCATGGTCGGCACCACGATGGAGAGTTAAAGAGGTTGGGAGTGAATGGTAAAATAAAATTACGACAGAGACAAAACAACTAAGTAAATTTGGAGACTTAATAGTGAGTTCAACTCAGTAAGTGGAAATCAAAATTAAGTGGGACGTTACTCAACAACAAAAAAACAATTATGTTTAGCAGGGTAGAGAGAGATTAGTCACGCCATCTTGCGGTATACTGATGTTGGATCGAAGTCTTTTGATAACAACGGCTTCTTTGAACCGAAGTTATTATGATTTTCTTTGCGTATTGATTATTTCGAAGGCCTGACTAATTCCCACTGTATGTTTCGTGTCAATTAGGTGTCTGACGATTGCACCTGTGAACACTTTGCTGCCTTTCATATAGAGATTTATTCTGCTTATATCTTCGTTCGTTCTTCGCTCAAACCGGTTGTAAGAAAAGCAACTTTTTGTTTGCAAAAACTTAGTTCACTTGTTCAGTGCACATTTATTAAATTAGTAGATAATCTATGTAAAACAGTGAATATTACTCATCGATATTTCTCTGAGAAAATACCTGGTTGATAATAAACATAAGTATATTCCATGTGATACTTGACTTCCTGATTAGACCATCATGAAAACCAAAGCTAATAAGAGTATCCGCAAAAGATATTGCCACTGAAACAATATGTGGTATTCTGAGTGGTTAACCAATTGACATTTCAACTCCTCGCAGGACTTGTCAGAATTTTCAAGTATCAAATAACTTGAAATTCATGGTTATTTTAATAATGGTGGTGGGCTATCTTCTTTTCATTTCATACTCATCAACTTGATTCACTCAAATTCTTCTTGAGACGTAAACATTATATCCATGGCTTAGCAATTAAAAGTTGCTGTTGAAATCTTCAGCTTTTCCGCTGTGAGTAAACAAGACTGGTTAGGTCAGTTTATATTATGGTGAAATTTTGAGATCAGTTTGTGTTTTGGAATACAAGCCTCGAGTGTAAATGTGGTTAAACCAGCAGAAATAATATTAATTCTTTTTCAGTAAACCAGTAACAATTAAGGTCTGAAATTACCAGTTCTGACTTGGCTACTAAGTCCCATGTCCGTTCGTTCCAATCTATTCAAACAACCTAGAACAGTATTTGAATTTAAGTATTAAGCGTTAATCGCTTTGAAATTGTTTTTTCTTAAATCAAGAGTCATTTTTTCTGGTTTGAATGTTCCTGTTGTTTATTGGAACTATCAGAGGTGTTGCGTGATTTCTCGAGATGAATGTATCGCTAATACTGCCAATCTTCACGTTAATAAATGACATTTGAGTACAAGCTTAGTTCGCCTCGATAATCACTATGCTTAGTACTGCCAGTAACCTTTGAAAATCAATGTAAATACCAGAAGATTATGCATTGAACTACCAGCAGGTAAAAGCTGTAATTATATTTTGCAATACTGAGCTATCAGTCTCCAGCACCTATTTGATTAATCCATGTAGAAAATTAAGTTCCTTGTATGAATGCCTCGATTGTTATGTAGAAAGAAATATTTTTGTGCAACATTTGTAGAAAAATATGTGTTACAGGCTACCACTCGCTTACTGATCCGAAATGACAGGTGTCTAGATTTCTTTCTCTTTTTATTTATTACCAATAATTATCTATTTAATTATTTGTTCTTATAATGAACATCTGTTAACTACCATTAACAAACAGTAATTATGAATAGGATAATATCTCTGGAACGTGCCACACATACACACTCATGTAGCAACTGTTTTTACGAATAAAATTCAGATATGTCGCGACTATTGTCTTCACTGGAGAGTATCAGGTGGTTAGAATAATGGACTACACGGGACAATAATGCATCCGTTTAACGCGCCACACAACTTGACAACACAGTGGAACAGAATTAAGTTGGATGTTCACAGTTACCAGGAAAAAAAGGAAGTTTAATACGTAAAGTGTTATCAGGACCAGTGGAAGGTTTGGAACTCGAAAATGTATGTCTGCTGAGATCGCCTCTTTATTGTATCCTTATGTAACTCCTTTCCAGATTGAATCTTCATCTTTTATTTTTTTGTCATTAATTCTTTGCTGAGAGCTGGCAGTT